AATTAAATGGTAGGCTACAGCTGCAGAAAGTTCAGTACAAAAGAGAAAACACAGGCTCTAGGACTTGTGGGCTGTTCTTGTCTTCAGTTCTGGTGGGTTATAGGAATAATGTAGCTAGCTTCTAAGGTAGAATAAAGGGTATAGATTTATATAAGTGATTTTGCTACAGTTTTAGTTTGTCTTTCATATTATATGTATTGTCATGATATTAATAGCTAAAACATTTAAAGGAATTAAAAAATCTCCTGGGTTCTAGACTGGTCTTTACTGCTTAGTAACAGGCAACCTTTAGCAGGTTACCTACTTTTTCTCTTCAGGTCCCTGATTTCTCACATATAAAATAAGAATTAAAATTATGTTTAACAGAGTAGTTGTGAGGATTGAACAGAAGTTATTTGTATTTAGCACAATGCCTGAAATACATAAAACTGTTCATGAATTTCTTCTCATTTTTGGTTCCTAATAGAGCCTGTATTGTGTTAAGTTTGCAAGGCACTATTAGTTTAGTTTAATCAGTTCTGTAGCTGTGATCTAAGGACATTTGTTTTTAACATTCTGTGTCCTACATGAGGGTGGATCTGAAAATGGAAGAGTAGAAGCATTGATCCCCCAATAGCTAATGATATCACATGGTTCCAGAGAAAAAAACGTGGTTGGACTACTATTTAATACCTCTCAAAACCAAACCAATTAGAAATAATGGTTAGTTGGAAATAATATGTTTACACTTGTTAGTATAATGGAAATTAATTAATTATTTATTTATTTTACTTTATTTATTCTAATTCATTATATATGACAGAAGAATGCAATTAAATTCATATTATATAAATAGAGCACCTAGGAATTATAAACCAGAGACCCTGCACATAATAGAAGAAAAAGTAGGCCCAAATCTCCATCATGTTCGATTAGGCCCCAATTTCCTTAATAAGACACCTGAAGCACAAGAATTAAAATCTAGAATCAATAAATGGGATGAATTCAAACTGAAAAGCTTCTTCTCAGCAAAAGAAACAATGAGTGAAGTAAATAGAGAGTCTACACAATGGGAGCAAATTTTTACCACAGGCACATCAGATAGAGCACTAATCTCTAGGGTATATAAAGAACTCAGAAATCTTAACACCAAAAAACTGAATAACTCAATCAATAAATGGGCCAAGGAACTGAACAGACACTTCTCAGAAGATGATACACAATCAATCAACAATATATGAAAAAAATGTTCAACATCTCTAGCAATTAGGGAATGATTTTTTTTATAGTTAACAAAATTTAAATGCAACATAAATATTTGAGAGCTAAGAACCATTCAGGAAAAACACTAACATGTCCCGAAATAAAAATGGTAGCTTACAGCCAACTTTAGGTAAATTAAATAATGTCAAAAAAAAAAGAAAGCACAGTTTAGTTTTCTGTCATTGTCACCCAACGGAGAAGAGTTTAAGTTTTTCAAAAGTTAACTTTAGATGGTTAAAAAATTTTAATTCTTATTTTATTATGGTAAGAACACTTAAAAAGATTCACTTTCTTAACAGATTTATAAGTGTACAACACAACATTGTTATTATAGGCACAATATTGCTCAGAAGATCTTTAGAACTTATTCATCTTACATAAGTGAAACTTGTTGCACATTCAGCAGCAGTTCCTCACTGCCCCACCTTCCAGCCCCTGGCAAACCGGTCTACATTCTGTTTCTGTCATTGTGACTATTTTAGGTATTTTATATAAGTGGAAGCATGCAGTATCTGTCCTTCTGTGACTAGCTTATTTCACTTAATATAATGTCCTCAGGTCCCATATTATAGTGTTTCCTCCTCTTCCTTTTTTTTTTTTTCCTTTTTAAAATAAAGGCTAAATAATATTTCATTGTGGTTATATTTTCATTATTCATCTATCAGTGGTCATTTAGGTTATTTTTACATCTTGGCTATTGCAGATCATGCAGCTGTGAACATGGGAGTATTCTATATCTCTTCAAGATATAGAATGTTTTAAATAATTTTTTTTAAAGATCTAAATTGAGGCTGGGGATATAGCTCAGTTGATAGAGTGCTTCCCTCACATGCATAGGCCCTGGGTTTAAATAAATCTAAAATTGCTTTGTTATCACAATCCAAATTATTTTAAGTAGAATGCTCCTTTATGTCAATGAGATATACTAATTGTAATTTGTTTTTTCTAAGTGGTCCCAGTATCACCATTGTTTTTATCAATTATGTTTTCAGAGGCACAGACAGTTTTCAGCCCAGCTATTAGAGTTGCTATTGATTGTTGGATTTTAACTTTTATTTTTAAGTTAAAAATATTATAGTCTTTAACAAAAAGCACTTGAGAATGCCATCAGAAATAGAAGTACATATGGAATGAGCTATTGATTGCCGATGGCTCTTTTGACATGATAATAATCTAAAGTTATAAGTTGAAATATTTTTATGATATACTATGAATGAGCTCATTGCTCTTCATCAGTATTATAATCATAACATCTTCAAAGTCTAGTTCAGATACCTCCTTCTCCATGAGGTCAGCCTTCATCCTCAAAGCCATAAGTAACCCCTTCCTCCTCTGAATTCCAATAGCATTGTGTATGCTTCTCTTTGTATTTTTAAGTTGAACCTTGGAATAAAATTATTTCTTTTATTTTCCCAAATAAATTTATAAATGCCTTAGGGCACAAACTGTTAAACATTTAGATAAACACAGCAGATTGTTGTTAATATTTAGTTATTGAAATCTACTTTATCCAAAGTACTGTGCCTTACAATATGCAAACATAAGTATTACACAGCTCTTGTCCTTCTCATTTTATTCCTCATGGTGCCTAGTCTCCTTTTCCCTTATGTTCTGTGATGCCCCTTTATTTTCTTCCTGCTTCTCTTGCCACTGCTTCACAGGTTGTCTCTTCTGACAGACTTCTGAATAATGAAAGTGTTTGGGCTTGTTTCTAAGCTCTCTTCTTTTATAGTATATACTCTGTCTAGATGATCTCATTTATTCTCATGCTTCTGAAATACCATCTCAATGCCAGTGAATCTTGATTTTATGTCTTTAGTTCAGGTGTTTCTTCTGAACATCAAGTCTTACACATTCCACCGCCCCCCCTTTTGGATGGGGGATACTAGGGACTGAACCTAGGGGCACTTAACCGCTGACCCATATTCTTAGTCCTATTTTCTTTTCCTTTTTTTTTTTTTTTAAATTTTGAGACAGTGTCCTTGCTAAATCACTGAGGCTGACTTAGAACTTGCAATCTTTCTACCTTAGCCTCCTAAGCTGCTCGATTACAGGCATGGGCCACTGTGCCCAGTTCTAATTGCCTTTGAAGTCTCTTCAGATTTGGTTCCACTCCAGGAAAGCACCTTTCATCCACTCAGTCGCCAAGCCAGAATCTTGAACTCACGTTTGATAATTCTTTTTCTGTCACCCACCACCACAAGTCCATTACCAAGTCCTATTGATTTCTACCTCCTCTGGATTTGTCTTTCTGTGGTTCTACCCCACACACCAACCCATAGTGCAGGTATCGTGGCCCCTTTTGGCCCCTAGTCCAATCTCCACAGATGACATTTTAAAATACAGTGATCATTTAAAAATCATTAAGCAGACTATGCTTTAAAATCCCTCATTGTTCTTAGGATAAGATTTTGAAATATTCAACATGCTTCAAGTTATATATAATGAGGCCTTCTACAGTCCCATCTCATGCTACCCCTTCCTTCTATAATCCAGCAACTATAACATTCTTTAAATTCCAGAGATTTGCTGAGTCCTCTTCTCCACCAAGTGAACCCTGTTAACCTTCCCTCTCAACTTAAACATCATTTCCAGAACAGGCTTTATCCAATCCCATGGATTTAGGTTCATTTCTTATGTATCTTGATGTATCTGAACTTTTCCAGCATAGCATCTCTAGTAATTTGTAATATTTATTTTGTTGTGCAATTATTTGCTTACTATCTGGCTCGTCCATGGTTCTATAAGGTCCCTGAGGGCAGGGACCATGTCTGCTTTGTTCATATGCCAAGCCCAGGACCTGATACATAGTGGAGAGTCAATAAATTTATGTATTGAGTGAAATAAATTGAAAATAAAAGTTCAAAACACATTAGAATACTTTGCAATAGAATGTGTTTACAACTTACAGCTATAAGTTAATATATGGTAATGAGTTTCTGACCCTTGTATGAAGACTTTTGTTCATGACTAAACTGGGCGTGTGCTATTTTTCTAATTCATCAAATTTTAGTATTGTTATTGCCAAAGAATATATTTGACAACAGGAACTTTTTTTTTGTCAGTGTGACAGCAGTATTTATTGATCCCCTACTGTTTGCCTGGTGCTATTTTAAACGCTTAAGATATAGCTGGTGTGATCCAGCTTACTTTCCCATGAAGGACAAAAACCAAATAAGTACACAGAAAATTTTAGCTATTGAAAAATACTCTGAAATAAATAAGAGTGATGGCATGTCTACGATGGTTATTGAAATCCTAATGAAAAGGTAGTGTTTGAACTAAATTTGATGTGGCAAGATGGAGTCAGCCATTAGAAGCCTGAGGCAGAGCCTTCTAGGCAGAGAGGATGGCACCCACAGGAGCACTGCTGGGGACGTTTGAGAAGCAGAGTGGCCAGTGGTTCCCAAGTATAGGGAATGAAGGAAATGAAGGGAAGGGAATGCTAAAAGTTGGAGATCTTGTTGCTTAAAGTTCTGAGTCTGTCACTTATTGGCTCTGTACCACAAATCAAAGACCATTATAATGCCTAGCCCATTGGAATGTTGCTTATTGATAATGACAGTGAAGCAGTAATTCTATACATCATTGACAATTCCTTCCATAGAATTTATGTGCAGGAAAAACTGGGAAAGTGAATGTTACTTAAAATAATGACCCTGTGTTTAATAGTTTACTAATTTATTATCTTTAAAAATAAATGTGCTATGTTGCTAATTATTTGTGAACATGAATATTTACATGGATTTCTCACAAAGGTAAAAAAGCTGAAGAGAGAACTCTCACAAATGAAGCAAGAACTGCTCTATAAAGAACAAGGCTTTGAAACATTGCAACAGTGAGTATAAAAAATACTGAAATTGACTTTACAATAATTCAAACTCCCTAACTAATACAAAGAAAATAGAAGTAGAGATTACTTAAAGAGATTTCTCAAGGAAACAAAGTAAAATGCTCAGAACTCTGTACCAGAAATACAAAAAAACCGATCAACTAACAACAAAAATCTTGGGAAAAATCTATACACTTTGAAAACGTCTGAAGTTTTTATTAATCATTGGAAATACAAAAAACCAAAGTGAAACTTAACTTTGTCTCCTGGACCCCTGCCAGCCTCCAAGATAAGAAAATAAGCACGGAAAGTACCTTTTAATATTCTGTACTAGAGACTAAACTGGGTGGGCCCTACTTGATTCCCTCTGAGCCTGCAGCTGCCCTGAATGCTCTTGGAGGCATCTCCATTCCTCTCTGTCAGTCCCACAGATGACCTAGAGTCTAACCCTAATTGATAGCAAGGGAGCAAGAACAAGTTAGGTTTCTTCAAAGAGCTCAAAGTTGCTCATTTCCTGCTTCCTTCTGTCCTTTCCATTTCAATTCTGAAATCTGATGGGCCTTCAGAACAGTTTTAGAATGGGTCAGATTAAAAGAAAATGTTGATAGGAAGGATAGCAAGTTCTAGAAATCCCCACCCCATTACCAGGCACGCCTGAGGTGGTCTGTCTTCCCTCTGCCCCATCCCAGCAGTCTCTCATGAAAGGAAAAATACCTGAAAGACATTGAGCTACTTTCTATGTCTCCCCTGCATGGCACAGGTTTGATGCCACCAGTTGTGGTACCATAGTTCTAGGTATTTTCCTGGTCAAGCTCATGTTCCAGCAGGTTTCATGTTCTTCCAGACATCTCCTTCAGCAGAACCTTGGGAATGCAAAGCTGCTGTCAGGAGCCATCTCTGTGGAAAGTACTCACCTCTGTTCCTTTTGACTGAATTCCTATTCTGCTTTCTGCTTTTAGGAAATTTGGGACAGTCCAGGACAGCAAGGCATTACCCTCATCAAAGATCACATGTGTTACTAGCCAGACAAACACACGCTGATTGTTCTATATGTTTGGCGAGTTGTATCTTGGGATGCCCCATCACTACTCTTGGTCACCAGCTAGGCACATGACTTTAGTTTGAGAATTAGGTTTTATGGCTTTTGTTGCCCACTTGCCTCATAAAGTCATGATACTGGTATTCATTCAGATGCTTCTGTTCTAGTGTTTCTCAGACCTGATTGCATATTAGAATAATTTGGGGAGCTCTTAAGAAATACTTGTTTTTACCTCCACCCCAGGAATACTTTGTGAGATCTCAAAATATGAGTGGTTCTCTAGGATAGCCATGTTCTAGGGACCTCTGTTGGCTGCAGAGCTCCCCTAAAAACCCAGAAGACCTAGAATGACATAAATGTGTTATCTAGTAGTTGTGTATCAACATAAAGCAGGACTTTGTGGTACAGTGAGAAAACAAACTTTGAAGAATGCCACAAAATGTTTAGGTATATGTTAAACATTTTTAGGACATGAAATTATAACTCACATCACCACTCAGGATTAAAGGTTAGCCAAACTTGCTGTTTTTGTTATATTGATGTGACAATGCTGTATTGTTTCAAAGCAGTTTGCTTGCAAGCAATTTTTATAGGAATCTAAGGCATGTTTAAGAATCTGTCAATAACATTCCACAAGAAAACAATAGACATTTGTTGTAGAAAATCAGGCATTCTTTGGAATGATTCTAATCCCTTGAACCAAGAGCAGAAAGATATGATATCTAACATCAGAGACCTCTTCTGTTGATGTTAACTATAGACATAATAAAGCTGTTTTCATTCAAATATTAACCACCATACTACTAAAACATTGAATGATAATTGTTTGAACTGAGGCTTAACTTTTTAAGAAACCACATTCCTGATTCTTAGAAAGGGACTTTTTTTGTGTGACTGTGACAGAAGATACATTTCAGGAAAAGATTTTCATTTTAGGCTTTTGTAATTTTTCACTTATTCACAATAAATGGAATATTTTTGCTAAATTTGGAATTAGAATGTAAACCTGAGCTTTCATTTTATTTGTAACAATAGTTTTATGCTGGGTGAATAAGTATTTGTTTTATTCTGCATGTTACTTATTCATTTTGTAGCCTCAAATTTGACTTAGGCAATGTAGCTTATGTGTAGAAAGATACCAGGAAGATGCATATATTTTGCTATCTACAGTGTGCATTCAGAATTCAAAAATGGGAAGTGATGAAGCACTCAGCAAGCAAAAAGCATATATAGATTCTATAACAATTTGCCTCTGAGAGTATATTCATTTTCCAGAAAAGGCTTGGAAAGGAAACTCTCTTCTGTCGCAGAAAAGACTCAGATATAGAGTAAAAATTAATTTTACATACAAACCAATGCTTAAAAAAAAAAAGGTTCTTCTCAAATTAAGAACAAAAGAGCATAGCATTTTGTGTTAAGATCCAGCAAAGGGCTAGGGGTGTAGCTTAGTGGTAGAGTACTTGCCTAACTTGTATAAGATCATGGATTTAGCCCCCAGCACTGCAAAAGGAAAGGAAGAGGGGAAAAATAAAAAGGCCAACAAGCCATGCTCATATTTATTTTACTTTATAGTCAGGTCAAAGAAAGAAAAGGTGGAAAATGAAAAGTAGAGGAGAAAAAAAAAGAAAAGCATGGAAATAAAGGGACATTTGAAGTAAAATAGAGAGGTTCAAAGGAGACAAAAGAAAGGGAGAGGAAGACCAACGGCTCCATTGGGGATGCCAAATGAAATAGCTTATTCTTCACGTTTACCAATCTGGAGCAGTTAGACAACCAAGAAATTTTCATCTTTTTAAGTATCTCAGAAATTTAAATTAGCACTCTGAACTAGTTCTGCTTTTATTCCTAAACTATAGTTTATTTCTACAAACAGCTAACCTGCTTTTATTTTCAAATGATGAAATTTATTTCTCAAATATATTACCATTATATTTGAATGATTTTATATAAGTAGGAAGAAATTACTTGGGCTTTGGAAATTCACCTTGATAGTTTCAGATAACGTATTTCTAGCTTTTACATGAAATCTCAAAAGTTTCTGGGTTTTGTTTATTTTTAGTTTAAAAAGTACTATGCTTGAAATTTTATTTTATTTAATATCTTTTGCCTCATCTAAGTTGATGGACATTATTATACTTAGAGGAGCCAAAAATTTCACTGATACACCCCAACCCGAGTAAATGGAATTAACTAATATTTAAAATACTTTACCGTTCTCATAAATATTCTAGATGTAATAATCATAAGAGCCTCAAGTTAGTGTTTGTCCTTTCAGGATAGCTGCCCTACAAGCTAAGTGTTTATTCAGTTTAGGGGCTAATTTACACAAATTTTCTGGTTTCAGTTTCTTCATTTGGTATGTATGACAAGGGTATTTCTAGGGTCCCTTCCCATCCTAAACACCTTGTGTGAATTTGTGTGTTAAATTCTGTAACTTCATTTATTGTATTTTATTATAAAATGACTTCATGATCAGGTTTATTTTATTAGATTTTTGAAGACTTCAATTGCTTGTTCAGTATCATAAAATATTTACTAAAATAGGAGTTAGAGAAATATGCTATCTATAAACTGCTTTTGTTTGAATAAACTTTGTTTGGCAGAGTAATTAAGATGAGGTTTTTTTTTTTTTTTTTCAGATTATACCGTTCACATTGAAAGTACATATTAATGATGAAATATACTAAACCAAATGAGCCCAGAATCCATTTTCTCTGATTTAGTAGGTGCTATTTTTCTGGAGAGTCCATGAGTAAATCCAAGAACATGTTTTGAGAACATGTATAGTAGACCTGATGGCTGATGGGGTAAAGGCATAGACCCACAAATAAAACTCAAGTTGTATTTTTAACAAATCCAGGACAGCATTGTAGCTGGGGCAGAACCAGAAGGATGGTCATAAAGAGAATGTTCAACTATTCTTGATGAGAACTGGGTACTTTGGTTGTGCCCTTCAAACACAAAAAAATTAGGTTACGTGAAATCCTCTAGCCCAGGATGATGATCATGTAGGCTGTAAGACACTTGGTAAGCAGATCTGCAGGCATAACAAATTAGCTCATTAAAGAGCTGTTTATTCAATATGAGTTGACAAATGAACATATCTACCCTTCTGTCTTATTCCTAAATTTGAATTCATTCAGCAAAGCAAACAGTTTTTGGTAAAAATAGAATAGATACTTTTTATGTAAATCCAAATATTGTAGGATACTCACTAGTATAAATAAGTATTTATTAAAGGCCTTCCACACTGCTGACACTGTGCTAGGTTTCATATAGATATTATGGTATGTAATTTAGGTGGCTATTTATTGGTGTTTCTATCTTCTGCTATGACGCATACCTCTGTCCTTTACCCTCAGGGTGGAGATCAGGATCAGTGTTTGATGAGGATAGGGTTTAGCTAGCAGTTGGATCATCCAAACAGACTGCAAATAAAAACACATGCATTGTTTGAGCCCCCAAATACTTAGAAATGGACTAGATATGAGGTGGGGGATGGGAGAAATCTTAATTGAACACGATTAAAAGGAATGGAAGAGACACAATCAACTTGAAAAGATGGTTCTATTGTATCAGAGTCCTGAAGTAAAATTGCTAGCCAACCAAGATCATCCAAAAGTGGCTCCTACTGTTCATTTAACATGTACCATGTCATTTGAATTTTTTCTTTTCTTTGTATTCCTTTCCCCCCTCCCTTTTAACAGAATCGATAAAAAAATGTCTGGAGGCCAAAGTGGGTATGAACTTAGTGAAGCCAAAGCCATTCTAACTGAACTGAAATCTATCAGAAAGGCAATTAGCTCAGGAGAAAAAGAAAAACAAGATCTGATGCAGGTATGTTATACCAATTTAAGTCAATCTGTACCTTCTGAGTAATTCAGCAAGGCAGAGTCTGGATGACCATCCATCACCTCCATCCCATTTGTACTGAATGGGGGCCCTGTGGGAGGTTTTGCAGATCTGAGGCAGCCTAGTTGCTGTGGAGGAAAACAGGTTGTTTCTAAACTACTTATATGCTTAATTGAAGTCAGGTCCTGAATATCCTTTGAGACAGTGGGTAGTGGAACCCAGAGCTCATTTAAGAAAATTAGCACCCTGAAACAAAATTTCATGTGAGACCCAAATGAGCAAAATTCTCTGAACCAATGATCCTTAGTCGGGATACATAGGGTATGTCACCTGTCATGCCTTTTGAGGTGGGGCTGTGTGAGTAGCTTAGAATAACTTCTTTTCAACCCAGGGTTTGGTGGGGGATATTGTCCCATCTAGGGGATACCAATATAGTTAACCTAGGAAAGCTGCTATTAGTAGAAAATCCTCTTGTTTCTGTATAGTTGAAAACTCATTGTGTAGAAAAAAGAAAACAGTCATTCAGTGATCAATATTCTAAGTGCTTACTAGGTATGGTCAAGTTTTTTTCTAAGGATTTCTCTCTTCCTCCTCTTCTTTTCCCTCCATCCCATAATTATCACAAACACTAAGAACTTTTGGAGTTCTTCACCTAGCCAAGAAAGAATTTAGTCTGTGTCTTTCGAAAAATGTTAAGAGTCAGTGGTGGTACTTGCATTCTTTACAGAGCCTCTCTATTTAAATACTACAGTCAACATCATTTTGGTTTTCAAAGTGTTAGTGGAATATATATAAATATTCTTGGATCCCTATGATTTTGCATTTCAGGAATTTTGAAATAACTTGCAAGAGATCTAATAAAAAAGATAATGGTGATAATGACAAATACTTAAAAATACTGTGTGTGTGTATATATATATATATATATATATATATATATATATATATATATATCCTGTATACCCTTCTAATTGCCTTGCGTGTAAATAATTCACTTAATCTTTACAACAACTCCTGAAGATATTATTATCCTCAGCTTATAGACAAGGAAATTGGAGCACAGAAAAATGAAATAAGTTATTTAAAGTCATATAACTGGTAAGTAGCAGGACTGGAGTTCTGAGCAGTATTGCCAAGAATATGTGATTTCAAAACACATATAATATACAAGACTTGACTTGTTTATATTTTGTTTTTGTTCCATAATTATGCTACTGATTAAATCAGTAGCTTTGGAAATATGTACCGTGGTTCCTTTTTTAAAAAGAAGTTAATGGAGCTTGAAGAAATTTACATTGGAACCTTATAACTGAACAATTTTAGGTCATCTTTGAATTTTTTTTCTGTCAACTTTGGATTCATAGACCAGATTAAATAAAAGAATTAAATTCTTTTCAATTGCTAAAGAATATAAAATACTTCATTAGTAGATACAGAGATCAACAATAGAGCTGAAAAGGATATTAGATATCTTCTGTGACTTTCAAATTCTGTGAGTACAGTAAGAAATATGTTTTACATCAAAACCTAATGACATACAAGGGAGTGTACCTATCGCTACAGACATGTTCACACTTAAGACAAATTTCACAGAAATATGCCTGCTCTCAGTACTGGTGATGTACTCTGATTTTATTTTCTATTATCTTTTGTTTTGACTAAAAAACATTAGTCACACCCTAGTGATTGTGACTATGTTGATTGAGTGTATTGTTATTACAGATAAGATTGAAAAACACTAATGTTTTCAGTTTACAGATGGAAAAATAGGAAAGATTTGCCCAAGATGGACAGTTTCTTTGTTCTTTTCTCTAATGTATTATTTGATGGGTCCATGTAAGTTCTATTCCTCTTAAATATACATTTTATATAAATATCCCTTGGAAAGCAAATTGAAAAAGTTAAGAACCAGATCTCCAATATTTCTGTCCTTATGAAAATTTTTATATCAGGATTAAATGCTGGCTCTTAAAGTTGATAATAGTGGTTTTAACCATTTTTATTAGTGTTGCTGTAGGTTTTTAGAAAAGCAGATTAAGTAATATTTTTCTTTTTAGTACTTTTACTTGTATATATCCTCCCTCTAAAGTAAACCCAGTATGTTAGAACTGAATGAGCACCAATAGAAGGCACATTCACTTTTGGTTATTCACTTTAGTAAACCAACCTTTACCACCATGGACAGTGTCATGAGTGGACACGCAGATGGACTCAGCTTAGGGCTGGGCCACTCCTTAGCAACTTTGAGGCCTCAGTTTTCTAATTTCTAACATTAATGTAAGCTGAATAATCTCTTGAGTCCTTTCCAGATGTAAAATGACATAATTGTAGAAGTCTTCTAAGACAGAAGTTATCTTAATATATCTAAAATGAAAGATTGTATTGTAAATATTTTGTTTCCATGATTTCTGTTACTTAGAGTGAGTGATTCTGTATAAGTTTGTTTACTATTGCTGTAAGCAACTGGGTACTTTATAAGGAAAAAAGACTTATTTAGCTCACAGTTTCGAGCTGAAAATCCAAGATTATATGGCCCCATCAGGTAAAGGCCTCATTGCAGGAGGACCTCATGTCAGGAAGAAGAGATCATCTGACAAGATCAGGAATCAGATTCAGGGAGCAGACATTATCCTTTTACAATCCATCCTTTTGGGGACTAACAAGGGTACCTCAAGAACTATATTAATCTCTTATGATGGGGCTGGGGTTGTGGCTTAGCAATAGAGCACTTGCCTAGCCAAATGCAAGGTGCTGGGTTTGATTCTCAGCATCACATAAAATAAAGGTATTATGTCCAACTACAACTAAAAAACAACAACAACAAACATTTAAATAAATAGATGATACTCCCAGTGACTAAATACTTTGCACTGGCCCCACCTCTTAAAGGTTCCTCTGCTTCTGAACATTGTCCCACTGAGGCCCAAGCTTCTAGTATATGAGCTTTTGGGGGGCACACTGAAACCATATCCAAATGATAGCAAGTTCCTATTGAAATTAAGACTTCTAAATAAAGTTTAAGCATAGAAATGCATTTGTTAGATGTAGAGATACTATTATTCACAGGAAAATGCTGTCATAGGAAAAGTAAGACAATCTGTTTGGTATCTGTTCACATATTTCCAAAGTGGGGTGGGTGTGTGTGTGTGTGTGTGTGTACACAAAATTATATTTTAATCTTATTTTTAAAATAATAAAAAGCGGTTAAAGGACCGAAAATAAAGTAATTTTTTTTCTTTCCACTGACATTAGCTCTCTCCATTTAATTTTACCTGGTAAGGAAGGGTTGCCTTCTTACATGTTAAGCTTTATGAAATACTTTGTGTTTCTTGGACAGAGTCTTGCTAAGCTGCAGGAGCGGTTTCATTTGGATCAGAACATTGGCAGATCTGAGCCAGATTTGAGATCAAGTCCTATGAATTCTCATTTATCTCTCTCCAGACAGACCCTTGATGCCGGGTCACAAACAAGCATTTCTGGAGATGTAAGTTACCCGTGTCGTTGGTTGTCCCAGTATCATTCTTGATGGACCTTAATAACAAATATAGATGGTGAATTGGAGCAGGAGCTAGACATGTGGTTTACATTCCAACTGAGTACATTCAGCATTTCATTCTTCTAAGATTGGTTTTAAAAATTGCTGTCTTTTCTCTCAAGGTGTCAAGCATATCAAGATTTGCTCATATGAGTAGCTTTGTTCAAACTTTTTCAGACTATATTTCTTTAGTGACACTGTTGAAAGCCTAGAGATACATGAAAATTGAACTTTTTCCTAGTAAATTTGGAGACTTGAAAATTTAGGTCATTTCAAATGAACGTTAAGGTCAATGAAAAATAGAACTATATACCTTGAAAACTTGTTTTTATAAATTGGAAGTTGATTACCTTAAAGTATTTAATATATGATTTATAGCTGACTTTGGAAATGTTTAATGTGGCTTGAATATTATTATATTATTAACTACTTTGCATTTTCACTTTTAGAATGCCATTAATAGGTATTTACTTTTCTATAAATTGCCAGTTATTTTTGTATTCCCTTATACTTCTTTAAAGTATGTGCTATGAAAGTTAAATAAGTAGATATCAACAGCAGAACTTAACCTGTTTAAAAATTAATTTTTGAGGTTATTTAGTTTGTATTTTTTATAGTTGAAAGCTAAATGATGGAAATTTTGGCTCATAAAGGAAAAGAAATCAGTTCCAGTTCATAAATTTTATTGACTCATATACTTTCATAAACTCTTAAGATACCAGACACATTTACCTGACATTTTTGTCTTGAATTTAATGTGTGGAGAAAGTGAATGTGAAAAGTCTTTGAAAAACAAACAGGCTTGAATTGAAAGAAATGTTTGCCCCTACTGAGAATATAAAGTAAGTACCTTTTTAAACTGGTGCTTTCCCATTTTGGTACCATTTTCTGGAGCTTTTCAATTATTTGTACTTCCTAAGAACAAAAGCAGTTTTCTTCATTCATTAGCAGAGTTAATTGACTTTTTTCTTTTTGTTTTACTAGATTGGAGTGAGAAGTAGATCGAATTTAGCTGAAAAGGTCAGGCTAAGCCTACAGTATGAAGAAGCCAAAAGAAGGTAAGGACGGGGAGCAAATTTTTTTTATGGTTGATGGGCCCAAACATCATTTTCTTTTCCAGAATTAATCTTTAATCTTTACTCCTATGGTGACATCTGCTGGGTACTCCCCACATACTCTTGCCAGGGTTATATCCTTAGTTATTAGCGTCTTAAGGGTTGCTTTCCCTCTCCTCTCTCTCCTCCCTTTCCCCCTTCCCTCATAGGTGAAGAATAAGGAGAATTAATGAAAAGTGTGGGAGTAAAATTGTCCCCTTCTCTTCTGGAAAAAGAAGCTTTGAACTTCTTTAAGACTTTGGATTGAAAGTGAAAGTTTGGCTCCTGGGTTGGAAACATGATACAGTGGCTTAGGCACAATATTTGACAGATGCTGAGGAGATCTGAGGTGGACACCTTTGAGCATGGTCCTCTGCTTTGAAGGGAAACCTTACTGCTAATGTCATTGAAGGTGCTGAGGTGTTTGTTCCAGCTGATTTATGTCAGAGAGAAGGAGGAGATACTCTTATTTCTCTCCTCTACCTTATAAACTCTTAATAACTCCTGTGCTTTCTTTTTCTTACTTTTGTGACTCTTCTGGGGTGAGATGCAGAGGAGACCTCACTGTCCTTATCTAGTAGAGAGTCAAATGTTTAAAAAATATAGCATACCTTATTTGTTTGGAGGGAGATCATACTGAGTTGATTTCATATTTTCCTTTTAAGAGCTTAAAAATGCTATTGGCTTATTATTTAGGAGACGTTGGGAAAAGCTGCATTGCTACCATGCAGGAGACAAAGTAATTCATCATGTTCCTTCCATGAGCATGAAAAACTCCACTGAGAACCTGCTAGGGTATCATGGTTTCCTACCATGAGGAAAACCCATCTGATATTGAAGTATGCCCACAATTACTGATGATGATGAAAATTTTAAAGTAATTAACCATAGTTCTTACAGGTTATCTGGATTTAAATAGGTAAAATAAGTGCAATATTTAGTTTACTGTCTGTAACCTGTGTTTCTGATATCACTTGGTTTGTCAGTTTCCTGAAAAGAAACCTAAGCTTCATTCTCCAATTATTAACCATGGGAGCTTGAGCAAATCACCAAGTCCTTCTGAATAGCAGTTTACTTAGCTAACGTTAATGCCTTTAAATTTTCCTCAGTAAAGTTTAAATGTCTTGAAGGTAAGAAAAAATGTTATACTTTATTACCTCCTTCTCAGGGTCTAGACTAGGGCCTTGGCATCAGTAAGCATTCGGAAAGCTGATTTGCAGTTGGGGCCTATGGTGGATGCTGCCATGGTCCTCTTGCTGTGTGTAGGTCAGCCCTTTAGCCAGCAGAACTCTTTGGTTCTGATGTGAACAAAGCCCAGAAAGTGTGTCTGGTTTTCTGAAGGAGAATGGCTATAACTCAAAACTAATCTTGGAGAACAAGTCCTTATCTCCCCGTGGGTTCTTACAGGCTTGACTCTGCTTCCTTTGGATCAGCTTGGGCTATTTTTTTTTACTGTGACTGCTAATAGTTAATTCCATCTGGAGCTTACACAGCACTTCTCTTCCTAGGTGCTCCTGGAAGTCTTCTTCATATTCCATTCCCCAGATTTGGTACATACTTTCTAAAATAAAATGGGAGATCTCCCTAATGTCTGATCACGTTATAAATAGGAACCTTTCTTTACTCCCTCACATTGTTGCTCCCAGCTCAATTGGTTAATTCAGTCACACCAAACCTTAAGACATTGGTTCTTTACCATTTGGTTGCATTGCTGTACTATTTGGGGTTTTGTTTTAAAGTTACTGGTGGTGTTGATGAGAATGTATCTCTCAAGCGTTTATGCATATGTTGAAAATGCATTTTCCTCCTCAATTCTGAATAAGTAAAGAGATGGGTTATTTTTTCTCTGAAACCTGTTTTTCTCCTGCAGCCTTTGTTTTATGTGCTTAATGAAGCTAATAACATCATGCTTATTTAGCATTTTGATGGTTAATTTTCTAGTAAGTTGAGACAGTTGTTTATGGTTTTGTGATTAAAGCTGAAGAATAGCTGATGGTACATCTATCATAAGTGCAGACGGTGGGTGAAATCAGAAGTACACTACTTCTGCAGTGGCAGTCTCAGAATGCAATTTTATTTCTTAACTAAAACAAGAAACTTATGGCACAAAGATGTGGATTTATTTTCATCTTTGTTCTTGATTATGTTTTTTTGTTATTTTTTTTCATTCCTTTTACAATTTTTTGCATTGAAAAAGGAAAAAATCTCCCTTTTCTGTTTTCCATATTCTGGTGTGAATGTCTGAAGCAATCATCCAACCTTTTTTTTTTTTTTAATAGTCACAGATTCCTTGTGCAAACCTCAGTTGTATTCATAGTTTACCTGGATCTTAGGCTTTGGGGGCAGAAGAGCCATGTTGCTATTCATCTTGTAAAAAGTCCTGATTGTCTTCACAGTGCTGCAGAGCAAATATTCAATTCAGGTTGTCAAGACATTCATATTGAAAATGAATTGTTAACTTCATCATTAATTGGGGAGCTCTGGGCACAGTGAACTTTGAAATTACTCAGTTTGTTTTTGGTGCTTTTTGTTCTCTCCCCGCATTCCTGTTTCCCTCACTTCAGCACCTTTTGACACTCCAGTGGTGCCACACCAGCTTCCTGTGCTGGTGACGGTCCACTGTGTACTCCTGAACAGCCAAATAAATGTACAGAGGAACTTAAATCCAATGCAGTAGTGGATATAAGGTGCTGGTGCAGTGCTTGCTCAATAATCAGAGTCAGAGCCCTACGGAGAGGAGACTTCACAGCAGGAAGCTTAAGGAGAATGTGGGCCTACTCCCTTAACCTTGGGGGGAGACTTGATGGAACTGACTTTGTTCTAAAATGAGTCGGCCAAACTACTGTTCTCTTTTCTCCACCCTTTCCCTGACCTCCTTATACCCTAGTCTTCGCCAACCTGTTCTGGAGATTACCATTTTACTGGAAAAGATGCTATAGACAGTATTGCTACCCAGAGGAACAAAAGTCTACAAAAATGGCATTTGGGGCATCATTGCAGTGCCAACCTCAGTTTTGTTTTGTTTTTAAAGGGAAGCCTCCAGGTTCCTCTCCTGTCACACCACACACACACACAAATATCAGGGCAGCCTGCCCTTGGCCCCCAGAGTACTTTCCTTTTGAAGTGTCTGTGTACTTGTCTTTCATGCTGTTGTCAGATAGGGAGATGTGCTCACTCACATTATAAAGATGGGGGATGAAGCAGAGGACAGCTGAGTGTGAAGTCAGGCCTAAGCCTGGAGTACAGAACTGCTGCCTGCTTTCTGGTAAGCTCCAGTTGGGAAGGTCTGGATGGCAGTTCCACCCCAGACTTAGCTGGTTGTGTTTGCCTTTCTCAGGAGTCCTAAACATGTGCATGTTTCTTCTCTTTATTTTAGTATGGCCAACTTAAAAATTGAACTGTCAAAGTTGGACAGTGAGGCTTGGCCAGGGACGCTAGATATTGAGAAGGAGAAGTTGATGCTGATTAATGAAAAAGAAGAACTTTTGAAGGAACTGCAGTTCGTCACTCCGCAAAAACGCACACAAGATGAATTGGAACATCTGGAAGCTGAAAGGCAGAGACTAGAGGAAGAGCTGCTGTCCGTGCGGGGTGCACCGAGCCGGGCTCTGGCTGAGAGGTGTGTTTTCCTACTGAGAAGAGAGCAACTACAACGTGGCTGAATCTTAACTGATGACATTTTCCCTGGGTTTGGAAATCTCAGTTTTATCTGTTCTTATTGGACAGAGAATGGTACAATAGAACTTTCTTTCTGTAGAGCGATAAAGCACACCAACCTAATGCCCCTCAGCATCCATTACTCTACATCTGTTAGGACTGAAAATGCCTGTGACTGATGTTGAATAACTAAGGAATGTTGACATAAAACCATGAATATAGTCCATCACTGACTGAGTCTGATAATGGTAGCTGTAAACTATTGCACTCTGATAAGAAAGATGATCTAGATTGTTACAGTGACTGAAGCTTCCTATTCTAGGTTTTATTACTTGTAAGAATGCAAAATTTTATTGCCTTTAATTTCACAAGGAAAAGAAGAGACAATTTACTCCCTTTGGTATCCTAATAGTTTACAAAATGTTGCTTGGATTTTGCTTGTAAGTTGAAACCCTCCTCTGAAACAGCTGAAATATAAAGGAAAATATTCTAAGAAGTTTTCTAATCTTTCTATGGGAAAGTGTGAGTTGATTATTTAATCTAAAAACTCAGTTCTATTAATAGTAGTAAGTGAGAGAACCTATGTGTATCAGTTTGATATGAACACATCTGTGTCAGAGCCCTATGTCTGGCCTTGCTGGCTGCTGTGGTGGGACCCCTGTTTCAGAATAGACTGTGTAACCTTTCAAAACCACTGTATATGCATCCTTTAGGCCACCAAGTAAGGAGCAGTGCCTCACAATGACAGGAATGACATTCACATTGGTATTATCTCAAGTTACCTGCATATAAGTTTAAAATACACAGCCATAATCCAATTTCTTTTCTTTTTCTCCACATCCATACTGGGAATTGAACCCATGGTACTCTACCACTCAGCTACATATCCAGCCCTTTTTGTTTTATATTTTGAGACAAGGTCTCGCTAAGTTGCCCAGGCTGTCCCCGAACTTGTGATCCTCCTGCCTCAGCCTCCTGAGTTGCTGGGATTACAGATATGCACCACTGCACCTGGTGGCAGCAGCAGCTCTTCTTCCTCATCCTCCCCCCCTCCTCTGTCTCCTCCTCCTCTTCCTCCTCCTCCTCCCTCCTTCTTCCTCTGCCAGTCCAAGTTTAACTGTTCAGGAGATTTGACTTTTGTGGATTAAAATGTTGATCAAGGTAATATGTGGCTATAGCATTTTAGCTTTAGGGTTCATGGACAAGTATCAAGAGGAAAAACTAATGCAGACTGTATTCTTTTACTCACTTAAATAATTCTCCTTATTGCCCCCATTTCCCTTCTTTTCTTCCTTGCTTGCTCTGACTTGTATCTTGTGGGGCTGACTGACAGTGAGATCAGTCTAAGGTAGGTATTGAGGAAGGCTGGCTAAATTAGGATCCATCTGACAAAGACCAACAGAAACAAAGAGTAATGATGAGAAGGCAAGGCTGAATTAAATTGTTTTTACTGAATTACCCTTGTCTATATATTAGTATACCTTAAATTTCCAATATAAAAGTTTAATAGTCTTCAGTAAATACAATGAAATTAGTAGCTTTTGTGTGGTCCTTGTGAAAGCACCAGTGATATTTGGTGTATTATGCAATACTTAATAAATGTTGTCTACAATCATTCCTCCCTATCCATGGAGGATTAGTTTCAGGAGTCCTTCCCCCATGCCAAAATGTGTGCTTACTCAAGTCCCTCATAGAAAATGGTATAGTATTTGCTTATCATCTATGCACATCTGCCCATATACTTTGAATCATTTCTAGGTTACTTATAGTACGTAATACAACACAAACGCTATGTAAATAGTTGTTATACCATATTGTTTTAGGAATAAAATAGACAAAAATAATCTGTACCTGTTTAGTACAAATGCAGTTTTTTTCCCCCCCTCTGAATACTTTTGGTCAGCTATTGGTTGAATCTGAATATGGAACTTAGGGACATGGAGAGCTGAATCTTACAGGGCTAATGTGCAGTGTCCATCCTGGCTGTTTGTAGTAGATGAATCTGGGAAGGTTCTACAGGTTTGTACTAAAAGGAAGAGAAACACATGTGCTTATTTGTTTTAATCAGTATTTACAGGTGTGGTGTCTGGCTTGTCTTTTTTATTAGGGAGAGACAAAAATGGTTAGTGAAGTAACATTGAAGATATGTTTTTTCCCTTGGTACCAAAACTTTTACTTTCATACTTGTGTTTGCACACACATAATGACTATCCAAATTCCAGTAGCAGCAATGGCTAGAATTAGAATTCATCAAGTGGAGAATGTATAAAATACTTCTATAAAATAATAATCTATTTAGTCTTATCCAGCCTCGGGCTTTTGTCTAATGGGGCATAAGCAGTATGTATAGTCCTACCAATCTATGATACCTACATAGACTTGTCTCCCATGTTTGCTTGTTAGCGGGAAAGAAAATGGATACATTTTACATTGGTAATATGTTGACTTTTTGAGTCATTTGTAAGTCAAGTAGTTCAGTATTCCAAATAAGTGAATACTAATTTCCTTTCTAGTGTCTGTGGCCAAAGGCAAATACCATAATTATGTTTCAGTAAAAGGTTGAGGGACTCTTTCTTGCTTATTTGATCAACTTAAAATTTTCTCACAGCCACTGTTGGTTGTTCAAGGCTCAGTGTTGCACATGTACCAAAAAACAGGATGTTGCAGTGAGCTCTGAGTCCTTTATTTCTCAAATAGACACAGTATAGTAGGGGTCTTGGGTCTTCTTCTTGTTGTTCATTGTTTTACTTTATTCCTTCATACTCTGCCACTTTTTCTTATACTTTACCCTTTTTTTTATTTGCTTCTTCCTACCACATGTATTTATTTCTTCTCTGCTTTTTGCCTCTGTTGAACCAAAAACTGGGACCTAATAAGGCAAAAGAATACCTTTGCAAGCAGTGTATTTCTTCAGATACTAATGGGAAATAAAATTCTATTTTACTCTGTAAAATTTAGTTTCATCATCGAACAAATTATGCTCCTCCAGTACTAAATCACTGAATTTCTTCTTGGTACCTTCACAACTACCAATGAAAGCTACTTGCTGCAATGACCCAAATTTTCCTATTTTCTATTTATGTTGTGGGTCCTTCATTATTTCAGCAGTGACCTCAGGCAAGATTCTGAGTCATTAATGGGTTGTAGACTATGAAGGAGCTAAACTCACATGAATTTTCAGACATTGTGACCTTAGGGTTTCCTATGCCTGTTCTTGCCCCTACTCTACAGCAGTGTCACCTACTCAATCTTTCAACAGTGACTGAGCTCGCCACCTAGTGGTGGTAATGTGCATTAGGAAAAGTGAGAGCTGCTCTTTTGAGAAGTTGCTTTCAAAAGAAAGAACGAGGTCTTTCTGTACATGGCTTTCTATTTTCACAATACAGTTATTGACATTATTTAAACTCTGATTTTCTATAGTTAATAAGAAAAGTCCTAACATTGCTCCTTATTTTCTCACAAATTTTGGGGCTTCGCCTTATAATTGCCAAGATGTCTTAATCATTTCCTAATTATTTGAATGTTTTTATCAATGCTTCTGAAAAATTTTTAAAGCAAGTAAAGGGCATGGGTACCACTTATTTTCAATGGAAAAGGAACTGCTTTTTTTCCTGTGGAAATGAAATGTTCCCTACGTGGAAAGTTCTGAGTTTAGGAGAGACCTGGTGGAGTCTCTGTCTCAGGGCACTAAGACAGAAGGAGGGTGTGAAGACCCTGTACTTTGCAAAGGTCAGTGGAAAGGAGAGTGTGGAACTGCAGGGCCAAGGGGAAAATCTCTTAGGGGCCAGGGTAAAAAGACCCTTTCTCACATAGGAAAAGGCAGATTTGGAGAAAAATTTGGGGACATGGATATTCTCTTTAGAAGGCAGTTGCCAGCTATTCAGAGGAAGTTAAGGAAGTCATCTCCTATGAAAGACACCTGAAATCTGAGGAAGACTTCTGGCTGCCATCAGGAGAGTCTTTTGGTGTTTATATCAGAGGCAGAGACAGCTGCCCCACTAGAAGGTTTCTCTGACTCTTGTCAGTGCCTTCATTATGCTAATGCCAGTAAAGAGCCTAGGTAGGAAAGAGAGAAAGAGCTCTGTCTGCCTTTTAGGAAGTTAGTATTATATTAGGGAACATTCAAATATGAACACAGAAGGTGTGTGTCAGTAATTCAGAGTCAAACTAAAAGACCTAGGAGAGCAGTTCCTAGATATGACCTAGAAGAGGGCAGAGGACGGGCCATCTCTGGTGAATAGGAAAGAAAAAGCTTTGTATTTTAAACTTTAGGATGAATCAGACATTTCAGGATTAAATTCTAATGTGATGCTGACGTGTTCCTTAAAATAGGAAAAGCCTCATTTTTATAAAAGTAATAGTTTTAAAACTTCAAAGTTTCTCTTACTTCTGAAGACATGGAGTTTAGAAATGTTTGGGGCTTTCTCCAGATCTTTGTGTACCTTCTAATTCAGTTAATCTTCTTGGTGTTAATTTTTTTTCCTTGTTGAGCTATTATTTATATTTGTGAGATTAAAAAAATAAAGACTATCTTATTTTTTAAAATGAACTTATGAAAGCTGTGAATTAAGAATTTATCACGCCTTGAAGTATTAAATAAAATGGCAAGAATTACTTTTTTATTTTAACATGTAATGAAATTGTGTTATTGGCACATCAAAGGGATAGATACCTATAAATAAAATATGAATATATTTTCTTACTATCCAAGACATACATAATATTTCAAAGAGGCTGGAAATGAGGGAAATTTTCTTTTTCTCTAAACAAAAATAGCTAATTTTTATATCACCACCTTGCAGGGCATGCTGAGGCTTTGAACAAGTCTGATTTGTTTTTATCATCTGTAGAACACTTTGACATACATTACTCCATTTGATCCCTTTAACTGCCTTATCAGGTAGACACAGGAGGATTATAATCACCATTTTACAGATGAGAAAGGTGAGACCCTTGATTCAATGACTAGCCAAAGGATCCAACCCTAGTAAGCAGCAAATCCAGGCTGGGAACCACAGTGTGTTTTTTCTGATTCTCATTTTGTAGCTCACTTGTCTGCACTGAACTGGTTTATTTCTAAGACGATATCTAAAAACCCTCAGATAACACAGACTTTACTTGTGCAGTTCTCAGTTGCATAAGACCCAGGGTACTTAATATGTCTTTAAAAAGAGTTATTTTTCAAGATACAATTCTGTAATATTCTAATTAAAAAAATACTTTTGCAGTTGGATGTGAACAATATTTTGTGATAATATGGTACAGATGATGAGATATGATGTCACTAGGAAAGGAAGTCACTTTGAGGTCTTCTTGCTTTTAAGCAGCCCAAATTAGTCCACACAGCAAAAGAGACTAATTTCTTTCTTAATTGTTAAACAATTCTCATCAAATTAAGACTAGAATTTTCATCATCAAATATAATTTTGGAACAATCCTTGCTAAAATCAGTATTTAGGATGGCTTTTTATAATTCTCTATTATTTTTACTGACAAATGTGTTAGTAATGTGAAGCCAAATTATAGACTTGTGTAAGGATTTTGTAGCATATCTATGTATATGTGTATATATAATTATTTTCCTCCTCACTGTTCTTCCCCAACTCATAGGGCTATATTATTTACCCACTTAAGAAAATTTTACACTTTTTTCTCAGTAGCATTGGCAATTGGGCATAAATCTCCCCTGTCCTCAGCAACTTAGCAAGGCTGTAAGCAATTTAGCAAGACAGTATCTCAAAATAAAAATTAAAAAGGCCTGGGGATGTGCTCAGTGGTTAAGCACCCTAGGTTCAATCCCCAGTACAAAGAAAAGAAAAGAAAAAAATCTCCCCCATCATCTAGTGTGGCTGTGCACAGCATCCTTTTTTTTCTCTGTCAAGTTCATTCAGATTTCCCCCTCTTGATAGGTAATATTTGTGTAATAAGAAACTTTGGGTTTTTTTTCACATCCATCATAATCATTTGAAGATCAATTAATTTTTATAATTTTTTTCTAGATTGAAATTGGAAGAGAGAAGAAAAGAACTGCTACAGAAACTTGAAGAAACTACTAAATTAACTACTTACTTGCATTCACAACTTAAAAGGTAAGCCCATTAGATCCTCAAAGGGAAATTTTTTCCCTATCTTTCAGACACATTCTGGTTCATCTTTGGTTAGTTTATACTTTATTTTAAGCTATTTAAAAGTAAGTAGGTACATGAGTAAAATTAATGTGTGAGTGACCAAATTTAAAGTTAATATGTTGTAGGAAGAAGATTTTAGCCCTCAATGAAAACTTAGGAAAATGGAACATTTCTCCTATTATCTCATCTTTTACAAAATGAGGGTAGGAGAGATTTACCTTAAAATTGCCATAGATTTTCTTATATTGGTTAGAAAAATACTCACTTTTATATTCACCCACAGAAAATGGGAAAGGCAAATGAACCCAGGGGCTTGCTTTTTTTTTAAACCACTAAGCATCATCACTAGCCCTTTTTATTTTTTATTTTGTGAAATGGTCTTACTACATTGTGTAGGACCTCACTGTGTTGCTGGGGCTTGCTTCAAACTTGTGATCCTCCTGCCTCAGTCTCCCAAAACCATTGGGATTACAGGAGTGTGCCACCAAGCCTGGCCCAGAGACCTTATGTGTAAGCACTCAAGTTTTATAAGCTTGCCTTTTTTCCTCTAAAAATAAGGTTTAAAAAACCTAACAACATAGCCATATTAATACTTTGTCCTGGTCATCCCTGCACCCCCCTTATATTTTAATTATAGGATTGCTTCTGTATAGCTATGCAAGGAGAATTCCAGGAAACTCTTTGGCATATTTTTTAACTTTTATAAAATGAGGATAATTTTTTCTAAGATAGAATTGTTGCTTAAAGAGTATTTGGAGAGCAAGTTAGAAATTATTAGTGAATAATCAGGGAAATGCTATGATGACATATCCCTTGGCCCTGGTCATATATTCCATTCTTTGGCACCACCTGTTTCCTTCCAGTTTGGGATCTGAAGTCACCAGTAGGGGTTATGATTGGTTTTTCCACATAGTGACAGATTTTACAGTGTGCTTTTCTTCTTTTAGCCTCTCTGCCAGCACGTTGTCCATGTCATCTGGGAGCAGCCTGGGTTCCTTGGCATCCAGTCGGGGCTCGCTGAACACCTCCAGCAGAGGGTCTCTCAACTCCCTCAGTTCCAGTGAGCTCTACTTCAGCAGTCAGGGTGATCAGATAGATGTGGATTATCAGTATAAACTGGACTTCCTTCTCCAAGAGAAGAGTGGTTACATTCCTTCCGGACCTATCACTACCATCCATGAAAATGAGGTGGCCAAGTCCCCCAGTCAGCCTGGCCCAAGTGGACTCTGTGGGGTGGCAGCTGCAGCAGCTGGCCACACTCCCACCCTGACTGAGGCCCCCAAGTCTGTGACATCCCTATCTTCAAGGTCCTCCCTTTCTTCCTTGTCGCCTCCTGGCTCTCCTTTGGTCTTGGAAGGCACGTTTCCCATGTCTTCTCATGACTCCTCTCTTCATCAGTTCACTGCTGACTTTGAAGACTGTGAATTGAGTAGCCATTTTGAAGACATTAGCCTTGGTGAAAATCCCATACTGCTCGATTCAGATTCAGTAGGAGCATCCCAGTCTCTTTTAGAGGACAAAGACCTTAATGACTGTGCTGGGGAGCCATTATATGAAGGAACTACAGGTAAATGGAAACCTTTGTTTTTTATGCATTCCCTCTAAAGGATTTTAAGGACATTGGGTTGGAAGGTTACTTTTTCCACATAGACAAATGGTATAGTCTCCCCTTTTTTCTCCTAAATATTTATTTCAGCTTTATTTAGGAAGGAACCTTTATTTATATACCCAGACATTTTCTTTGTCAAATTGTCTTCTCTATTTAATAGATTTAATCATTAGGTACTTGTTTTGTGGTCCAGAGACCCTCTATGTGTGGTACCTGGCTAGACCTTATTTTGTAAACATACTTTATGCTTCTAAACAGATGCCAGTTCTAAAATACTAAGGCAAAGAAGAGGGCTTTCTTCTAAATTTTGGCCTAAAACAGATTAAAATCAAGTCAATTAGCATACAAGCTAATTAGTACAAAGGTTCACTGTTTAGATTGCTCAGGGAATTCTATATAAATACAATTTTATTTTATGCCAGACTCTCCCTTTCTGCCAAAAGTTAATTTGAAGAAGTAGTCTCCAGTATATGGTATTACCCTGCCATCTTCTGGCTGCTGTGACAGTTGCAGCCCAAGGAAGAGGCTGTAAGAAGTAGACTCCTGCCTGTGTGTTCAAAGAGACCAACGAGAAGAATCTCATTTTATTGATTGTTTTGCTCTATGTGACAGAAATATTTAATATGTTAGGTACAGTTAGTGCCTTTGTTGGCACATGATCTCTAGTGTGATCCAAAAAGGATAATCTGTTCTAGAGCCAGCTTGAGGCAAAATGGGAAATCAAAGCTCTGGTCCTTCTCTATGGGCATCCTGGTCAGACTGACCTGAGTTGCTGTGCCCCACCACACAGAAGAGGACAGGCCTCTAAACCAACTGCTTTCGTGCTGTTTTGAGAAGCATTTTTATTTATGTATATGGTCCTGGGAGTTCTGAGTACTAATTGATTGGATAGTTCACATGTTTAAAGACTAGATTGAAATGCTGTGTCCTGCCAGCAGCCTGGGCAGAGGTGGAACATTCTTGTGGTTTGTGTGCCTCCTCTTAGAGAAACATCAGACAAGTAACATTATAGAAATAATCAGCCACAAAGGAAAACAAGCACAGGCGTGATGTGTACATAGTGGCCCCACAAAAGCAGAAAGCCACCATGGGCCTCGCCCTGCCTCTGTGAAGGTGTACAGTGGATGGCGGGTTGCGTTCTGTCTCATGCCTTTACTCACACTTTGAATTTATTTCCGCGAGCATGTTACCTTGTCTCTCAGGTCTGTTTCTCGTCTGCAAAGTCGGGATGATACGGTTATACTTATAGCACTGAAGAAGATTAATGCCATGATGTGTGGAAAACATCCTAGCACGTCTTATAATTGTGTGATAGTGATAAGTAACACAGTGCCCACCAAACCAGTTCCTACCACGTGTCATTGCAAGTTAAGGGAGGAAGAAAGAATGGGGAAAGAGTAGAGAGCCAGCATTCTGTACCATTCTTCTTGCTTTAGACTTTTAGGATCTTACATGTCTTGAGCATCTCAAGCTTCTTTGTCCTTCATGTATTTGGAGTATTCTCTAGTGACCACTTATCATCATCTCATCAAGTGGAAGGCCCTGTATGTGGAGTTGAATGCTGGAAAAGAGGAAGGCTTGGGAAAAATTCCCCAAAGATTGTTACCCACCTAGTGATCTCAAGGTCCCAGGCACCAGTCCTGGAAGCATCTGCTTGGCTGGTGTCTTGCTCTTGGCCCTTATGTCTGCAACTGTGACTATCAGTGGGCTTGTGGCTGGCAATGGGTGTCTGTGATAATTTTTAAATTTTTTCAATGTTGAAAAATGTTGTTAAAAAGTCATCATAGGGCCGGGTACAGTGGCTCATGCCTGTAATCCCAGTGGCTTGGGAGGCTGAATCAGGAGGATCGCAATTCAAAGCCAGCCTCAGAAAAGTGAGGTGCTAAGCAATTTAGTGAGACCCTACCTGTAAATGAAATACAAAAATAGGCCTGGGGATGTGACTTAGTGGTCAAGTGCCCCTGAGTTCAATCCCTGGTACCACCCCTGCCCACTCCCACCCCCCTGCCCAAAGTCACCATAGGGTAAGGATATAGCTCAGTGGCAGAGTGCTTGCCAGCATGTGCAAGGCCCTAGTTTTGATCCCCAGAACCATTAAAAAAAAAAGTCACCCTGAAAAAAACTACACCCAGGACCTTTGCAGATAACATTCAGTTTCATGTCTGAAAACAACTAAAAGAATATGTGTAAGTGTAAAGACTAATTCTCTTGAGGTCATCAGTGCTTGGTCTATTCAGAGGACATCTACTCTTCCCTTGAGGGAGGGTGACTCCTTGAAAGGGACACTGATTATTTCCTATGCTCTGGAGTTTTATGCAGGTGAAGTCAAGTCCCTTTTATGTAAACTTTGCTCCCCAGCACCAATCCCTGCTGGATGACAGAAACCAAGTTGGAATAACTATGAAGTCTTTCCACAGTCAGTCTCTGTCATTGTCAAAGTCAATTTCAGGCTGCTGTGGTTATTCCTGGGGGTAATCAATAAATCATGTCATCACCTTCACCCCTCACAAAGGGGGGTGGGCGGAGAGAAGGCACTTCATCATCAAGGAAAGAGCATTCCCACTGCCAGAAATAAAAGGGGAAATGCAGCAATCAATCCTGTAATCTGAAGCCTTAAAACTTAAACATCTTAACAAGATGTAAAGTCACGACTCCGAAGGGGGCCGAAATGCATACCAATACAGATCCACTGGCTTGCTCACTGGAGGATGAAAGAACTCTGCAGGCTTGCAGCTTATTACAGTACAGAACACAGCTTTAAATGAATGTTCCTTGCTCACTGCAGGACGCTGCTGTATGAATATGAGTTAGAGATAAAAGTTAAGTGGTAGTTGGTGCTGAAGATTCAGTAGCACAAAAAGTTTTTTAGTGGTATTAGCTGGTGAGGAATTCCTATAAGTCAAAGATGTCTTCTCCTTAATTTCTGTTAGAATAGTACCATAGGAGACAGAGAATATGGCATGTGTAGAGGAGAGAGCAAAGAGGTAGAAACGTTTCTTTCCACTGAGTAGTCAGAAGCTCTCTAAATAGAAATATCTCCCAATACTTGAGGGAGGCACAGAGCTTTTTATCCTAAGCATATTATAATTGTGAATGCTTGAAGAAAGAGGTTGGAGAGTCAGAATATGTGCATCCCTTGCCTTAAAATATTTTAGGAAAACAAAAGACTATATTCATTTCCAAATAACAACTGAAGGAACTGGTATTGCAGAAATCTTATGAGTCACAGTGCTTTGACTTGTCCACATCTGTTGATTTGAAGAGTAACATCCTTGACTCTCAGAAGGATATTGTATGTTGGCTTTATCATGCTCAAACTTCGTGTGTATTTTATATTTGATTTTTCCTAATAAGAAATCCTAATTTTCTAATAAGAAATTTCCCCTCCTTAGATGTGGAAAAATCATTACCAAAAAGAAGAGTAATTCACTTGCCTGGGGAGAAAACTGCTTGTGTGTCGGCTGCCGTGTCTGATGAGTCTGTGGCTGGAGACAGTGGGGTCTACGAAGCCTCCATGAAACAGTAAGGACCCCGCAGGCGTGTTTTCTGGCTTCTCCACGTCTCCTCTGTAGCAGAGCCTGTGTTTTCCAAAGTGCAAATATGCTGCCACTATTAGTGCACCCTTCAGAGTAGTAAAGAAATAGTGTGCCGGCCAGGCCTGGTGGCGCATACCTGTAATCCCTGTGGCTCAGGAGGCTGAGGCAGGAGGATTACAAGTTTGAGACCAACCCTAGCAACTTAACAAGGCCCTAAGGACTTAGTAAGACCCTGTCTCAAAATAAAACATAAAAAGGAGACTGGGGTTGTTTCTCAGTGGTAAAAGAAATAGTGTACCTGAAAATTCCCAATGTATCAGAAATATCCCTTCAGCCTCGGAAATGATAAGCAGATTAGTGTACTTATACGTACTTGACCTTCTATAAGACCTAAAAAGTTTATTTTAGTAGGAATGTTAGAGTAATTCACATGTCAAATGCCTGTTTGACATGTGAAGCTTGTGTGAATTTCTGAAAACCTGGGATTTTTATGGGGGGTATGGTGTAGCTAGTAGGGCTCAGAAAAGTGAGATGTCAGCACATCTGTTCCCTAAGTTCCCAGGCAGACTCTTCTTGAAGAGGCCAAGAAAGCTTGGGGCTGGGGATGTGGCTCAAGCGGTAGCGCGCTTGCCTAGCATGCGTGCGGCCCGGGTTCGATCCTCAGCACCACATACCAACAAAGATGTTGTGTCCACTGAGAACTAAAATAATAAATATTTAAAAAAATTCTCTCTCTCTCTCTCTCTCTCTCTCTCTCTCTCTCAAAAAAAAAAAAAATTTTTAAAAAACCATGCTAGAGCATGTAAAAAAAGAAAGCTTCTGAAACAGTAAGCTGGGATCAGTTCCCCTGGGGAGTTATCACTGTTTGGTTTTCATTCAAAATAATTGAGTGGCAAACAGCAACCATAACAATCGACCTCCTCCAATAATTGACTGCTCACCTCCCATCCTTAGGCCTAGTGAAATCGAAGATGTTCCATTCAGTGAAGAGGATGTTGCCACTGTGGAGACAGCCCAGGTGCAGATAGGACTCAGGTAAAACTATGTACACAGGGGAAGGGCAGTTCTAGAAGTCTATGCAAGGACTGGTGGTCTGCGGTTACTCTTTATTTCATTCAGCTTCTCTTTCGACAGATATGATGCAAAAAGTTCAAGTTTCATGGTGATTATAGCACAACTACGAAATCTTCATGCCTTCTTGATACCTCATACTTCGAAGGTGTAAGTAAAGTCAGTGAAAAACAAACTGAGAAGCTTAAGAATTTCTACATTTTGATCATTTTACATTGTAATCAGTCAGTTCCTCAAAATGAAGGTATGGAAAAGACATAGCAAGACTGGTCATGTCTAAATCAACAGTAGACAAATGTGAAGAGAAAAGGAAAATGTGAGAAAAGCAAATGGAGTTTTAGTCTTTATTCAACCAATTCCTCATTGAGAATAGAAATCAATATATTTTCTTTTTTGAGCAGAAATCCTGTGTTATTTGTGTTGGGGCATGGTTGTTTGAAATATAATTAAAAATTTTATTATTGTCTAATAGTTATTACTATTGGTTTAAAGGAATTTTCTGATCTTTTACGTGAAAATTTAGTGATTAAATTTTATTATCCTAGTACAACATTGCCCCTCACATATTTATCAAGCTGTATCATCCAACATTCACTTCATTTTTATTTCACATTCTTTTTTTTCAAATATATATTTCTTTAGTTGTAGTTGCACATAATACGTTTATTTATATGTGGTTCTGAGGATCGAACTCGGGGCCTCACACGTGCTAGGCGAGTGTTCTACCACTGAGCCCCAGCCCTTCACATTTCGTTTTTTTATCATCCAACATTCACTTCCCTCTGACCAACAATTTCTTAAAGTTATTTCATCAAACTAAGAATCTTAACGAAGTGATGGCATAATGTTGTCTAGCCCACTACTTTGGGACTGTTTTCTAACAGGTTTTTCTGGCAGTCTCTACCACCATTCACACTTTTATAGAGTCATAGTCTCAGTGACTCTCTTAAGGGCTCTCTGATTTAGAATACAGAGCATGTATGTCCACCTTACCTTTAAACTTCTTGTAGGAGGTGACTCTTAGTATCCAGCAAGGCAGTACAAGGGCTTGGACAAAACAAAAAAGGCTATTGGAGAAAATTTTTAAAAAGATTATACCCAGCCAACGAATGTTTTCCTTAATAATAGCATATATTCCTTAATGAGCAGGATTTTTAACAGAGTAAGAGTTCTGGATGTTTTCCCTACAGGTTTCGTTTTAAGCTCACATCCTCATATTTAAGAATTGCTAAAGAAAACAAATTGTATGCAAGAAAAAAAAAAGAGCTAGGTTGAGGTTATTTAGTAGACAACAAAAAATAGAATGAGAGGTTATGTTTACAGTCATCAAAGCTGCATAGGATTCAGGAGGGGAGGCTCACGACTTCCTGAAATCAAGGAATAGGGGACCAACATCATTAACAAGATCAACCAAGAGAGACAGCATAATCTAGCACTGGTGACATAGATTACCACGTGGGCCTGTTTCCCAGGCCTGAGGTTAAAAGTATCAGTTGGCTATTTTCAGTGAAGACTGGCTTGATAATTTTGGCTTCTCCCTTCTAATATATGTGTTTCATATCTTGGGGTGTGCTATTGGTGGCCTTTAGGCAGATCAGGGAGAAGACAGTTCTACCAGAGTTGGGCTTCAAACAGCACCAATTCACAAATACAGAAGAAAAGTACAGAATGTCCAAGAATATGTACTGTCTTTAAACTTACATCGTTTACATCTACCCAAATGTTCTAGCTCTTCTAGACCAATCACAGTCATTCTCATCTTGGAGGATAGTCAAAAAGTGCTTTCTGGATGTATGATGACCCAGAGCCAGTCACTGAGGGCATTAGTAGTATTCATCCAACTGGTGAGAGTATAGAAGGTACCTTTGTCTTATTGGTGTGAGCTTTCCTCAGATACATAGCAGCATTATCTTAAACCCATATATAAAAAGCTTGGCCTAAATAACGACACTGCTAAAAATGACAGTTAGTTTGAAATATTCTTAAATGTTCTTTTTCTCCTAACTTCAGAGCTTAATTTTTTATTATTAATTATGACAAGAGTTTTTGCTTCGGTGTGTTGCCCCAGTGTTTCCATGAGTCAGTCATGATTTGCCAGGCTGTGGTTTGGCAAGACCTTCCCTACAGCAGAGCTGGGGGAAAAGCACCTCTGCCTGCTTTCTCCATGCCTTAATGTCCAAACTACATAAAATCATTCTTGTTTGATGTGAAAACATTTTGAGATGAGTTAAGTGGTTAGGCCATTGACAGAAAACTTGAAGACTGGAGAAACAGAAAAATCCCTTCCCTCCATTCTGACTATTTAATATACTGGCTTCTTATTGTTTTTCCATGAAGGCAGAGAAAAAATATTGTTTCTGCTGAAACTCCAACCTTCCAAGAAGGATGAGTTGTGTCTTAGGCCTTAAATCAACAGCAGTGGCCCAAGACTCACAAGGTGTTTAATGCTGAATCTTCATAATAAATGTTGGTATAAAATAAAAAATAATATGGCACTCTTCAGTTCTGCATTTGAATTTACAATTTTTTTAATTAGAGAAAGGCATGTTTTAGAATATGCATTAGATACGACTAGAAATGGGGACAGGAGAAGATTTAGTAGATATTCTCTTTCTGGGATTAAAAGGAAAATATCTCTTGCTATTTCCAATAATTGTGAACCCTGTGCTCAGAAAATTCACTCTAAAGTAGCATTAGAAATTACTGTTTTTCTGTAACTCTTCCTTTGAATCTGAAGCTTTGGAGATGCTAGACATTGATATTTTTGAACTGCTGTTTCATCTGTTTTAAATTTTATTAACAATATGCTACTTTGCCTCTCTTTTTGTCTAGTAGGATAATGTATTCCATTCATGGGAAGTCATCATCAGCATCTCTTTTTTAACACTCAGGATGAGGATTCTTTGGGATAAAGTCACCAGTATCTACTTAGGGTATTCCCACCTTCCAAGACATAGAAATAACTTATTTTGGAATTGGCTGTACCTGGGGCAGATGGGATGTTAAATTCATCTGCACTCTAAGGCTTTCTTCCTCTTCACTTTCCTATCATGTGCCTTTGTTGCAGTCCTGCGGTGAGTGGCAGGCTGGCCCTTTGCATGCTCAGGGGTATAGTTAGCACATAGGTTAAGAATAGAGTGTCTTTGCAGCTGAGCACAGACCCATTATGGCAACAGCACTTTTGGTTGATAATGAACTCCATATTCCCTCAATTTCTGTGTTTTGCAGATAATTGCAAATGATAGCTGTGAATCCACTGTAATCGAAGTACCTATGAATTTCATTTTATTCTTGTTCTTTGCAGGTATTTTAGGGTTGCTCTTCTTCCCTCCTCAACTGATGTCAGCTGTCTATTTCGAACAAAAGTCCATCCACCCACAGAATCTGTGCTGTTCAATGATGTGTTCAGAGTAGCCATTTCCCAAACAGCTTTGCAGCAGAAGACGTTAAGAGTTGATCTTTGCTCTGTCAGTAAACACCACAGGGAAGAATGCTTGGTAGGATTCTTAATAATTACCATTATCAACTAACACAACCAGATATTCTTAGAATATGCTTTCTAGTTGCTGTTCTGCCAGCAACTAGACTAAATGACTGTAGACCTGTCTAACACCTTGGGACACGTCCAGTGGCTGTTTCTTTTCTTTTTTTTTTTCCCCTGAAATATTGATTTTTGTTCTTACCTTTATTTTAGACCTTTAAAATCTGTTTATCAGTTATGATTTTCGGTAAAGCTCTACTTTCCATTTCTGCTTTGACTAAACAAAAACTTTTACCTCTATTATGACCAGAACTTACTGTGTATGCTTTTAGTCCCATTGCCAAGACCTGTGCTGAATACCGTGTGTTATCTCCTTTAATCCCTATGACAGTCTTAGGAAAGATGGATTATGGAAGGTGTGATCATGTCCTATTTTCAGATAAAGAGCTGCTTAGAGAGGGTTTCACACCTAGTGAATGATGGAACCAGATATCAAAGAGACAGCCCACACATAATTCACTGTTACAAATTCAATAAGCAAGACACTGAAAATATATTCAGCTCAGTTTCCCCTGCCATGATATTAGAGCTTCTAAAGAAAAAGTGTAACTGTTTAGAACAAAATGTTTAAATGCTATAGCAAAAGATTCCATACTTAACTAATAGTACGTTTAATATATTGCTGTGCACAAAACCTGTAAAACCATCACTTACTGGTAAGGCTGGTGTTTAGAGGTGGGCCTGTGTGGTCAAAAACTATGAAAATGTCCAGCTGAGCTTTTCTCTGTGGTATAATAGGAAGCACACACATTTCATGATGAACAAAGCTAATTGTGATAATCTTAATTTTTACTTGAAAAAAAATGTTTGATACTATTTTCTGGCAATAAAGCAAAGATGGATGTATTAGGCTATCAGAAAGGCTTTGGTATAATGTCATATTTATATATGTCAGAAGCTCTATTAAATTAATAAACATGTGAATGGGGATAGCCTTTTAAAAAATAATATAGTTGGATTTAGATTATGGCTATTTGTGATTTGGTAGAATATGAAAACCTTTAACCTTTACTGTTTTGGGGTTTTTTTTGTTTTGTTTTGCTTTGTTTTTTGACATTCTGCCAACTTATATATCCAAAGAAATTTTTTTTTTACTGATTTCTCATTAAAGAACCAACATGGAACTTTTGCTTGTTTTCAGACTTTTCAGTGGATAATTTTATTGTGAGTAATAATGAATTCATTCTTATAGTGTATTATAAGAAGTACCATGGTTTAGACTTATTTATTTATTTATAACTTTTCATTTGCACGTAATTCCATATTTACAAAAATTACATACTTAGTCATTAGGTGTTAGCAAAATCATGTCTCAAAAAATAATCCTAGGATTGGCTTTTTAGATTAGAGATTATTATCATAAATCATTTCCAGGTTTTTTCAAAACCCAACACTTTATGAGTATTGCTTTAAAAAAAAACAAAAAAGAAGACAAGCTCACCCAATGATCTTTATCATATTAGAGAAAACATATACTAATTTAGCATTTTCTCTCTCTCTCTCTCTCTCTCTCTCTTTCTCTCTCTCTCTTTTCTTTGTTTTCTTTCATTTCCCATAGGCTGGAACTCAGATCAGCCTGGCAGACTTACCATTTTCTAATGAGATTTTCACTCTGTGGTATAATTTGCTTCCTTCCAAGCAAATGCCTTGCAAAAAGAATGAAGAAGAAAATGAGGACTCTGTATTTCAATCAAACCAGCCATTAGTAGATTCAATAGACTTGGTAAGTCAAAATTAGAGAAAAGTCATTAAATGTAATAAAGAAATGTGAAATATGCAAGGAGACCAACAGGTTTTTATCCACTCTCATGGTCCTTCCTTTTTTCCTTTCAGGATTCTTTTATCCCAACTTCCTAAAAAGAAAGAAAAATGATCACATCTCCTTCCATAAAAATAAACTGATGTAGAGGCTTTATTGTTTTAAATGATTGTGGAAAACCTTTGGATTTAAGTTTATGCTTTTGTATATAGTGTTCACATACTTGGTTCCACTGTCAGCTTATACATTTGACACTCACATATTTTGCAAATTTAAAATTATTAATCTAAAACAATATGTTAATTTTCCATTTATAATATCAATATCCCTAAGTATTTTTCTATCAAAAGGTTTATTGAAACTAATAGTCATATCTTACTGCTTCAAAAATTTATGAAGGGGTACTTTTTGAGGCCATTCATCAATTATCTGGCATTTGTGCATATTGCTACTGAGTTCAAGTTTATTTTAGGTTACCTTCAAAGAAAGAATTCACTAAGTAAAAATCAAATAAGCAAGTATTTATTGATCATCTATTATGTGTGAAAAACTAGTGGACATTGTGGTAGGTGGTAAAAGAGAAACAAACATGGTGTAGATTTTATATTACATGCCCAGGTATGTAGTATACACTAAGTAAGGCATATGAAATGATTTTTATCTTCTTTCTGTAAGTTTTTAAAAACAGAATAAGGTGTAATTCATATACTATACGATTCACCCAATTAACATGTACAATTCACCCACTTAAAGCACAAGGCTTAATGTATTTTTCACTATATTCACAGAGTTGTACAACCATATGTACAATCTAATATTACTACATTGTCATCATCTCAAACAGAAGTTCCATACCCATGAGCAGTCACTCCCAGTTCTCCTGAACACCTTTCTCCCAAATAACCATGAATATTCTTTCTCTATAAATTTTCGTATTCATTTATTATTATACATGAAATAATACCTTATTTGTTGTTATAACTGACTTCTTTTATTTAGCATATTTTCAAAGTACATATGTTAATATTTCATTCCTTTTCATCCCCAAATAATATTCTGTTGCAAATGTACCATGATTTGTATACCATTCATTGGCTGATGTGCATTTGGGTTGTTTACACTTTTTGACTATTATGAACGATGCTGCTAGGAACATTCATACACAAGTGTTTGTGTGGACATATGTTTTCCTTTCTCTTGGGCATACATGTGGAAATGGAATTGCCTTCTTGGATATTATACAATATGTTTTAACATTTTGGGTGACTGCAAGCTGTTTTCTTGGTAGAATGACTTATTTATCTTTTTAGGATTGAGTTATATAAGTTCTGTACATATTCTTTCGTCCTTTCCTTTCCTTTCCTTTCTTTCCTTCCCTCTCCCTCTCCCTCTCCCTCTCCCTCAAACTCAGGATTTCAGGCAGTTGCTTCATCTTATGTATTTTTGACTTGACACTCGACACAAGTCCTTTATCAGATAAATGATTTACAGACATTTCCTTTTATTCTGTGCATTGTCTTTTCATTCTCTTGATGATTTCATTACTAGCACAAACGTTTTTAATTTTGATTAAAATGTATGCCGTTGGAGCATATGTTTATTCCATTGCTTGTCTTATTGTATAATATCCAAGAAGGCTTTGCCTAATCTGATATCACAAAGATTTCTCCAGTGTCGTCTTCTAAGAGTTTTAAAGACTTTTACGTAGGTTTTGGTTTACTTCTACTTGTTTATATGTGATATTAGGAGAGGGTTCTATTTCATCCTTTTATATGTGGATACACAGTCATCCCAGCACCATTTATTGATTAAAAACTATTCTTTCTCCATTGAATTATCTTGATACCCTTGTGAGAAATCAGTTGATCATAATTATAGGGACCTACATATCTAGAAGCTCAATTCTGTTCCAGTAATCTACATATAAGGCAGTACCACACTTCCTTAATTACTGTAGCATTGCAGTCATTTTGAGAATAGGAATTGTGAGTCTTCCAATATTTTTTTTCTTTTTCAATATTGTTTTGAAAAAATTAACATAAAAAAGATTGTTTGGGTTATTCAGGGTCCCTTGCATTTCCATGTGAAATCTAGTATTGGCTTATCAATTTCTGAAAATAAAACAAAACAAAAAGACAGGATTTTGATAAAGCAAGCATTAACTATGTAAGTCAAGTTAGGGAGTATTGTCATCTTAAATTTTAAGATCCTTGCATATGGATTGTCTTTACATTTATTTAAATCTTAACCTAGTTTCTTTCAACAATGTTTTTTAACTTTTGAGTCCAAGTTTTAAAATTTCTCTTGTTAAATTTATTTCTAAGTGTTTTTATTCTTGTAGATGCTATTGTAAATGGAACTCTTAATTGAATTTTCAGAGTGCTCATTGCACAACTGATCTTTATCTTTCATTCTGCAGCCTTGCTGAATTCATGTATTAGTTCTAATAGTTTTGTGGTGAGTTTCTTAGAATTTTTTATATGTGTGATCGTATATTCTGCAACTAGAAATGATTTTATTGCTTCCTTTCCAATTACGTGCATTTTATTTCTTTTTCTTGCCTATCTGCCTCAGCTAGAATTTCCACCATGGTAATGAAAGAAGTGATGATTGTCTTGTCCCTGATTTAGAAGGGAGGCTTTCATCTTAAGTACGATCTTTTTGCTGTAGGTTTTTCATTGATGCCCTTTACCAGACTGAGAAAGACTTCTTTCCCAAGTTTGTTGAGTGTTTTTAACATTAAAGTCTATTGGATTTATCAAATGCTTTTTCTACATCTGTTAAGATGGTCACGTGTGGTTCTTGTCCTTCATTCATTTTACTTGATTTCTGAAGTGTTAAATTAATCTTGCATTGCTAGGATAAATCCCACTAGGTCGTTGTGTCAATCCTTTTTATGTTATTGGATTCCATTTGCTAGTATTTTGTTGAGGATTTTTTGTCTGTATTCATAGATTTCTTATGATGTCTGTGTGGTTTTGATATCAGGGTGATTCTGGCATCATGGAATGGATTAAGAAGTGTTCCCTCCTTTTCTACTTTTGGAGGTGTTTGAGAAGAATTGGTATTTAAGTGTTTAATAGAATTTACTAGTGAAGCTATCTGGGCTGGGACTTTTCCTTTGTGGGAAGTTTTTGTTCTTGTTGAAATTCTCTCTTTTCTAAGTCTCTCATACTTTGGTTCTTGAGTCAAGTTTTAGTACTTGGGTCTTTAAAGGAATTTGTCTATTTCAGCTAGATTATTTAATTTTTTTGGTATATAATTGTTCATAATATTTTCTCATAATATCTTTCAGTTTGAATTTACATAATTTAAACATTTTTCTCTATTTATCTTGGTCAGTCAGCTAATGGTTTACTAATTTTTTTTCAATGAACCAGCTTTGGTTTTATTTTCTCTAATTTTGTTCTCAATTTAATGAATGTCCACTTTAATCTTTATTATTTCCTTTCTTCTGATTGCTTTAGATTTATATTGCCCTTCAAATTTACATTTTCTTAAGGTGAAAAGTTAGTGATTTGATGACTTTCTTCCTTTTTAATATAGGTTCTTAGAGGTATAAATTTACCTTTAAGCACTGCATTAGCAGTATTCCATAAGTTTTGGTGTGATATATTTCAGTTTTCATTCATCTTAAGATGTTTTCTAATTTTATTTGTTATTTATTCTTTCATCCTTTGGTAGTTTAGGAATGTGTTAGTTTCCACACATTTATTAATCTAAATGATTTTTGATTTTTTAAAAATTCTTAATTTCACTTCAGTATAGCCAAAAAGCTTAATTGGTATGATTTAAGTCCTTTTAAACTTATTAAACCTAGTTTTATGGCCTAGTATATTCCAGGGAAGGTTTCATACATACTTGAGAGAAGTATTTGTTCCGCTGTTGTTAAGTGGAGTGTTCTATAGATGTTTTGTTAGGTTTAGTTGATTTATAGGGCTGTAATATAAATACATTTTATTGCACTTTTTATTCTAATTCCACTCTCTGATGTGTTTCTTTTGTGAAAAGAGGTAATGAAGAGGTTCATAACAAGGTGCATAAATCTTATATGAATCTAATGAATTTTCATAAAGCAAACAATGTCTATGTAGTTACTATCCCAGACAATTATAGTATATTGACAGCACTCCAGAATTCTTCCTTGTATTCCATCCTAGGCATTTCCACCTTCCCCTAAAGGTAATTTCTAGTCTGAATTATCACACCAGATATTAGTTTTGTCTGTTGTTGTCATCCAATGTATATTTTTTTTTTATCTGGTATCTTGTACTTAACAGTATGTTTCTGAGAGTCATCTATGTTTTTCTGTATAATTACCATTCATTTATGCCCATTCTTAGTTGATAATTTATAATATAATTATATCAATGTATTTATCCCTTCTACTACTGATGGACATTTGAGTTGTTAATAATTTAGGGGTTATTTTTAATAATGCTATAACATTCTTTTATATATGTATATATATCTTTTGGTAAAAATACTCTTATTTTAGTTATTTTGGTAGGTGTATCTTGTATATCTAATTTGCATTCCCTGATTATAATATGCTTAATTGCTAAATGAATATCATCTTTTGTGAAGTATCTGTTCAGAATTTTATCCATTTTTTAATTGTATTGTCTTATGGTTGGAAGGAGTTCTTGGAATTTTCAGTATATGAGTATTTTAAAATTAATTGATCACGAATATCTTGAATTCTGTGGCTTGCCTTTTCATTTTCTTAGTGGTGTCCCTTGGTGAATGGAAATATTGTTTCAAAGAAGTCTTATTTATCCATTTCCCTGCTATTTAAGAACAATTTGCCTCTACCTGGGTCACAGAGATGTTTTCCTATATTGTCGTATAAAAGCTTTATTATTTTTCTTTCACATTTAGACCTGTAGTCCATCTGGAATTATTTTTTGCATAAAATATGAGGTAAGGGTCAAAGTTCCTTTTTGTCCATATGGTTAATAGAG